GGATGAGTAGATTTCTCATTCTGCCCACCAGGACAGGCTGTGAAGCTGCCACACCCTCCATTCTGCCTGGTGGTCCCATCCTGTCCTTTGCATGTCACTGTGAGCAATGGGAAGGGCAGTTGCTCCTTCACTGCCATGCCCAGAAACTTCCTCAGCTTGATACTCAGTTACATCACCTGCCAGGTCCACCTTCCACAGAGTACTAGAATCCAGTTCCAGCAAGCTGTGTTACTTTAGAATGGGGATGGGCTTCCCAAGCTCCCCTAGTGTGACCCTCCTCTCGAGCTGAGAGCATTCCTCTGTTGGTATCTTCATTGGTGTGCATTCATTGTACAAAGTAATTGGTTTTGCTGTGGTGTTTTCACGAATACACATGTTATATATTTGGTCTTCTTCACCGCATTCCCCCCGACTTTGTTCCCTGAGACATTTTCCCTTCCTCTTCCCAAATACTCCAACTTTCATGCCAAGTGTTTATCTATACATAAACATGCTACACATGTCTCTCTCTCTCTCTCTCTCTATATATATATATATATATATACATGTTTAAATTATATGTAATAAATAGTACACATATATAATACATTTATAATATGTGTTTAATATATTGTCTAGGTTCTATAGTTAAGAGAAAATAAATCCCTTTAAAATTCATATTTCTAGTGCATATTGCAATTTTGCAATACTTTCAGTTTTACAGCCTTTGCAATCTGTAGTTTCAAAGCCATCTACAACCCATTCCCAGTTCTTTTTTTTTTTTTTTAATTTATTTATTATGTATACAGTGTTCTGTCTACATGTTTCCCTGCAGGCCAGAAGAGGGCACTAGATCTCATTACAGATGGTTATGAGCCACCATGTGGTTGCTGGGAATTGAACTCAGGACCTTTGGAAGAGCAGGCAGTGCTCTTAACCACTGAGCCATCTCTCCAGTCTCCCCCCCCCCAATCCCAGTTCTAATATCTGTGTTTGTTGGGGTTCTTGACTGGCAGAACTAAAAGGAAAAAGTGTATGTGCGTATGTTTGAGTACACACATGCCCCACCACCACATCACACACACGCACACAGGAAATATCAATGGAATACAGTCTTTTCTGAGTCAAGAGTCTCACTGCATAGTCCTGGCCGACCTCAAACTCACGGAGGCCCACTTGTCCCTGCCTCCTTCCTGAATGCTGGTGTGAGAGAGTATGTGACCACACCTGGCTTTTGCTGTCTGTTCTAGCAAAAGGCCAGGCAAAACAAAACTCCATTTAAAATAATCTAAAGCAACCACTTGGAAGAAACTCCCAGGGTCAACACTTCTTGAAATCAAAATACATGGCCAAGGTTGCACTCTCTGCTCAAAATTGCATTCTGCTCTTCAACTGCCCGATTTAAGTCAGCCAGCCCTGTGAGAATGAGAAGTGGAGCTCTAAGCACCCAGTGTGGAGCAGAAGACCCATTGGCATTAGTAACACAATCCCATGGAAACCTTGCTAAATAGCCTTCTGCAGAAGTAAAATTTTCTGCCTGGCTGAAATACTTAAGACTGTGTGGTCATTTTCTTGAGACCTGTCTTAGAGTTATTATTGCCATGGTGAAACATCATGACCAAAGCAACTTAGGGGTGTGTGGGGGTAGGGGTGGGGAAGAAAGGGTTTATTTGGCTTACACCTCATCGAAGGAAGTCAGGACAGCAACTCAAGCAGAGTAGGAACCTGGAGGTAGGAGCTGATGCAGAAGCTATGGAGGGGTGCTGCTCATTGGCTTGCTTTCCATAGATTGCTCAGTTTGCTTTCTTGTAGAACCAGGACCACCAGCTCAGGGATGCAACCACCTAAATGAGCTGTGCCCTCCCTCATCAATAATTAATTAATAAAATGATCTACAGCCAGGTGCTATGGAGACATTGTCTTAATGTCTTAATTGAGGTTCCCTCCTCTCTGATGACTTTAGCTTGTATTGTCATAAAATTATCCAGATATTTCCACACCCATTTCTTACATCCAAGCATATACATTTATACATTCTAGTGAGTCTTTAAACTGCAGAGAGATTCATTTGTGCACAGAGAGAGATTGGGGGAGTGGGGGAGAGAGAGAGGCAGAGAGAGAGAGAGAGAGAGAGAGAGAGAGAGAGAGAGAGAGAAATTGACTTGTAACTTGTACAGGCTCGGCTTCCAATTTTTGTAGCTTTGAAGTGGTGTGAATGCAAAAGGCATTCAGTACCAAGTGGCTGTCAGATTTGGGGGTTTGAGGGCTTGATGTCTTTCTGGGGCTGTGGCATGGGCTTACAGCAGGGTGGCAGGTTGTGTTCAGCTCCCATGCAGCCACAGGATCCCAAGGGTGAAGCTTGACACTGCACTATGCTGCAAGGCTGAGCCCTAATGTCAGCAGATGAAACATGCAGTTCCCTTCTGACCCACCATGTTTTCAGCTTGTGGTGGCTCATCCTAAGTCAACAGGCATCTTTAGGGTGTGTGTAAAACAAGCCTTTTTGTGGAACTGGTCATATGGGGTGAGCAAGTGGAAAATCTGTAAAGAAGCTGGAAACAGAGGTCAATGTTGCAGCCTTGACAATTGCTTCTTCCTAGGGAGACCCCCATCCACAGGGCCCCTTTATATTGCTGCCGGATGTCAGTACACTGTGGGTGTGTATGACTCTGAGTCTGCATCTCATGGTTCTGTTGTAGATGTACGTATACTGGTTCCATCCCAGAGACTTTATCTAGAGCAGTGTAGGCACTGGCTAAGGGGTCTGACTTGGGCCTATTTAGGAATCCAGGACCATCTGCTGGATACTTAATGTCACCTGCCCGGTTGATCCTGAATGTCAGGTGGCATACAGCAGGACCACAGAGCTATGCTGGGATGATTTGTAGTTGAGGCTCGCTCTTTTTCTCTTCATTCCTTTCTTCACTCCCCCATCTCTATTACAGGATATACTGTAGCCCAAGCTGCCTTCAAACTCACTAAGTAGCCAAGGTTGACCTTGAACTTCAGATCCTGCTGCCTCCACCTCTTGAGTGCTGGGATTATAACCTGTTCTACTACATCTGCTTTAGGAGCTTCTAGAGGTGGGCCTCAGGGGTTTACACATGCTAGGCAGGCTCTCTATCACTGACCTGGATCCCTAGCATTGGGCTATGTGCACATCTTGGGGTAGAAACCCTTATGCTTGAGGAGCATTAAGAGCATTTAGTGGCTGTCTTAGTTAGGTTCGTATTGCTATGAAAAGACCCCATGACCATGGCAACTCTTATAAAGGAAACATTTAATTGAGGTGGCTCCCTTATAGTTTCAGAGGTTCAGTCTATTATCATCATGGCAGGGAGCTTGGTGGTGAGTATGCATCATGCAGACAGACGTGGTGCTGGAGCTGAGAATCCTTACATCTTGACTCAGAGACAAAAGGAAGTTGACTGACAGACACACTGAGGGAAGCTTGAGCAAAAAAACCTTAAAGCCTGCTTCCACAGTGACACACTTTCTCCAACAAGGCCACACCTCCTAATAGTGCCACTCCCTTTGGTTGTTATTTTCTTTCAAACCACCACAGAGGCCTCACTTTCCAGTTTGGAGGACTTGTGTCTTATCAGAAACATGGGGTTATTGTTGCTTTTTATCATTGTTGCTCTATTATCATTTGTCAGAACACCTGACAAAAGCAATGTAAGGAGGCAAGGCTGTGTTTGGGCTCCCATCTTGACTGGGAAAGCATGGCATCAGGAGCTTGAGGCAGCTGGTCCTGTTCCATCTGCAGACAGGAAACAGAGATAGAAGCTGATGCTCAGCTCACTTTCTCTCTTATGTTCAGTCAGTGACCCTAGCCTAGGGGATGGTGCTGCTCACATCAGGGTTGGTCTTTTCACCTCAATTAACTCAGTCTAGACATTCTCTCAGATGTGCCCGAAGGCTTGTCTCCACAGGGGTTCTATATTCCCCCTATCAAGTTGACAGTCATAATTAACCCTCACAGAAGAACTCCTGGGTATGGGTGACATAGCAGCCCAGCCTTCTGAGTATGTAGGACACAGTCCATAGTGGGGAGTTCACAGACTGAGCCCCTGTGAACCCCCACCACTGCCACAGACAGTCCTCGTGCCTCTGGACAGACAGTTGTCCTCTCACGAAGGCTGCAGGGGGACAAAAACTTCATGAAGGGTCTGTTGAGTATTGATGGCCAAGCGTCCCTTGGCTCGGGCCTTTGTGATGGTTAGCTTTAATCGTCAACTTGAAACAGTCTAGAATCACCTGGGAAGGGAGGGATTATCTAGATCAGGTTGGCCTTGATGTGGGAGATCCTAGCCTATTGTGGGCAGCACCATTCCCTAGTCCTGAATAGTGTAAGAGTTGAAAAGGAGTGAGCTCTGTAGAAGCAAGCAAGTGTCCATGCATTTATTCCCCTGTGCCCCTTCCTGATTGTGGATTGATGCTTTAAGTGCCTGTCTCAGTGTCCTCCCTCAGTAAGAGTCAGTGTGGAAAATATAAACAAAATGTATTGTCTTTTCTATGAAATAATTGAATAAGACAAAATACATTTAAAATTGTAAAGAAGCCACTTGGCAGAAATTCAAGTTCTGCCATGGTTAGCATTATTATTATTTTCTTTTTTTAGATCAAAATGCATGCTCAGGTATTATTTCTCCCTAGAAACTGCACTACTATTAGCCAGTCAGGCAAGTATGAATGTGAGGCTGAGCTCTGGGTACCTGGGTGGGGCACAGGATCCCTCTCCATTAAAAATAAATACCCAGTGGGACCCCTGCAGCTTGCTTGCTTCAGTGGGTGCAGCTTGCCCAGCTGGAGTACTTTTGGATTGTGTGGTCATTTTCTTGAGACACATTCCTTACAACTGTAACCTAGAGTTGTAAGCCAAATAAACCCTTTCTTCTCTAAGTATCTGTCCCAGCAACAGACATGAAACGAAGACAGCTTTTGATGACATAAGCACATAGAAGCCCATGGATGTACAGCTGATGCTGAATTCTGTGATTTTTTTTTTCACTCTGCAGGTGGCAATAATAGCTGGGAACTTTGAACTTGCGGAGTACATCAAAAACCACAAGGAAACCGACATTGGTGAGTAGGCTTGGTGAGAAACCACAGCCATCGCCATCTGAGATCCTCCTGAGGCTGCTGCAGAGCCAACTCTCAGTAAAACTTCCCAGAGGCGCCGGCACCAGCATGCCTTGGGGGTCCTCCCCTGATAGTGGGGAGGGTTTAAACACCTTGGGAGCTGGGTAGTGCACCTCTCTTGAAGAGTCCCACTCTCCTCTATCCTGACAGTGCCCGCTATAGGGACATCTGAAGTGTTCAGGCCTCAGGGGCAGCGATGTTTGACTTCTTCTGGGGAATGGTCTAGGGTTCCCACCTGATCCAAATCTCTTGACTTTCCCAAATATCTATTTAAAATGTATGCTTGTCACTATACATTTCTGCAGATGGTGAGAGTCTAGCAACATTGGCAGGTGATGCTGATCCTTGGGGAGATGGTGCATGTGGGGGAGGGCTGGGGGAGGGGTGTCTCCATACCTTTCTCTCATTTGCTGTGAGCCCTGAATTGCAATTTTTTTTTTTTAATCTACAGAAACAAGTCAGAGAATCTGGGTACCAAGCAGGAGACATGGGGGAGGGGGCAGGAGATGGAGGGCGAGTAGGGGACACATCAGGGAGCTGGACACAATAGGAGGAGGAGCTGGAGGTACAGAGGGAGCTGGATAAACATGGGGGAGCTGGCTTATTTGACGGTACACAGACTCATGTGTAGCTAGCTGATGGGTGGTGACTAAGGGAGAAAAATGTGAGGTCGTCTCCCCCCCACCCCGTCACCTCTACTTGGTGTTCCCCTCCCCTTTCTAGTACCCCTTGTGCCAACCAGGAGGGCCATCTCTGGGGCTCCTTCCTACTCTCACCGCCCTACCATGGGCTGGGCCCAGTCTTGCACAGTGGATGAGCCAGCTGGCCTGCGCCCCCCAGCACTGGGCTTCCACAGGACCTGCAGCGGGGAGCAGTCCCACTGGACCAACAGTGGTGAGCCCTTGAAGGTGGAGTTGTCCCATTGAGGGGCTCTGGGATGGGGCTCCTTGGGGCTTTGAGAGGAAGCAGATGGCATCTGCCTCTCACTGCCTGTGTCCTCAACCTGCTTTGGGTGTCAGGGGGGAGCGACACTATGTCTTGCTTTCATGTCTTCACTGTGTGTGTTGAATGTGTGTCTTACATCGAACATAGCCTGGGCCTGTCTTGAACTGGGGAGCTGGATCATGATGTACAGCCAGGCAGCTGGTTGATGTCACCCTGTGCCCTGCTCTGAGCATCAGCATTGTGAGGAGAGGGTTATGTATTTAGCTCAAACCAAGCAGAGTCCCAAGTTCTCGAGCTGCTCTATGCTTGCCTGCCTCAGCCTTGGGTACCAGCTGCAAGCAAGTTTCTAGTGCCCCATCTGATGTAGATATCTTGTCCTGCTCACATGTATACATCATCACTAGGGCAGTAATTGTCAACCTGTGGGTGAGACTCCTATGGGGGGGGGAGTTCACATATCAGATATCCTGAGCATCAGATATTTAGAACAATTCATAGCAGTAGCAAAATGACAGTTATGAAGTAGCCACGAAATAATTATATGGTTGGGGGTCACCACAGCAGGAGAACTGTATTAAAAGGTCATGGCATTAGGAAAGTTGAGAATCACTGATGTAGGGTGCCTGGTGACATCTCACCTATAGAAACAGTTGCCCCATCCACAGGTTCCAGATTAATCTTTAACTTCCCCTTAGATTTTATCATTTCAGAGATGGCAGGCCTGGGAACTTCTTCCCAGAGTGTCCCATAATGTGAATGTCGGTGCTATCGCAGCCAACAGGACACCTCACAAATGGGGATACAAATGATACTGCTCCATGGAGGCTGGGAGGGAAAGTGTCACTGCTGGGGGCTCATGAAAGGGGAGGTCTGATTGCTGTCTAAAACCCTAGCAGGATCCCAACAGGAGACTGTGTGTCCTAAGACTACATACAGCCCACTGCTGCAGGGAGTTGGAGAGACAATCTGTCCCCTTCAGCGCTCTAGAGATTGTGTTGTTCTTAAGTGTCCACAGGGACCAGAAACACAAGGGGTCAGAGATGCCTGGGTCAGTGCACATTACCACCAGCCCTCCTGGAAAGATCTTGGCAGATTAGTGGGTCTAGAAGCACCCTCCCAGGCTCTTTAGAAGGTAGGGGCCTCAGTAACTGATGGCTTCTGTGACCCCTCCTTCACCCCAGGCTCTAGGGGTCATATGACTTGGAGATCAGTGGCTGCTTAATGGAAAAAGGCATGTGACTTCTCAGAAGATCAACCTTCGGTGCATATTGTTGCAGTTACAATGCCTCCTCCTCCCAAGTCCTGGTTTTTATTTGATGGTTTTTGATTCTCTGCCACCCCCAATTCCATCATGTCTTCTGCCAGGCTGACGACTGATCTTTGGAGAAAACTTGGGAGCCACCCCTTCCTCTTATTATTGGACTCTGTTCTCTGTCACCTGCACAAGAGAGTGTGCTCAGTCTCCCCAGTCAGCATTGCATAGTGTGTGTTCAGTATGGGATGTACTTGGGTTTTCTGAGAGCTTTGTGGAATGCAGACACCCTGGCAGCCACTGGAGTCTGACCGCACAGGTCCAGCTGCTGCTGAAATCACTATGCTGGAATCCTCTGGCGGTTCTGAGGTTGGGCGTCCACCTTTGTGTCTCAGGATCCTCCTGGGCATCCCCATCTCTTGTGAGTTCATTCAAACAGTAGGATTGGCCCCATATCAGTTCCCAAGGATGACAAATGACTGCTTTCTGAGAAGTTTAAAATAATGAGTTTATTCTGCCGTTCTGGGAGCACAAGGTCAGAATTAAGGTGCTGGTAGCTGGGTCCTTCCTGGAGGCTCCAGGGAAAGGTTTGTTCCAGGCTCTTTCCTCTGCTAGGTGCTGCTGGTGGTCTTTGGTCTCCATGAATTTGCAATACATGGCCTCTGGTTTGTGGTACCCTGACCTTCCCTGTGGTTATTAAGATTGCTATCTTTTTAGAATTACCATGGAAACAAACCTCTGGGCATGTCTGTGAGTGGATTCTGGATATGGGAAGACACTATCTTGAATGGGTAGCACCATTTCTTTCTCTGGGGGCCCAGACTGAATAAAAATGAGAAAATGATCTAAGCACCAGCATTCATCTCTCTCTGCTTCCTGTCTGTGGCTGTGATGTGACCAGCTGCCTGATGCCCAGACACCATGCCTTTCCCACCATGATGGACGGTGTCCTCAGGCTGTGAGTCAAATAAGCCTTTCCTTCCTTGAGTTGCTTCTTGTTAAGTGTTTGTCACAGCAAGACCAAGTCACCTTCCAGCATATGCAACTTCCTGCCTTGTCTTAGGACACCAGTCTGGTCCTATATCCAAGACCACCTTCCACTGAAGATCCTTTAGGACAGTTGCTGAGAGGACCCATCTCCAGGGTCATGACTGTAGGGGCCAGAGTTTAGGACTTGGATGTATCTTTTGTCCTCTTTATGATATGTTCATTGTTTTGTGGCTACTTATCTCTGGGTCATTACCTCCTCCAGGGCAACAGTATTGGACTCTGCCTGCCCCACAGTGCCAAGTAGAGTGTGCTAAGTGAGTGGCCCTCCCCTGTGCTGTTCAGCTTGAAACCCTATCTCCATACTGATCTGAGGCAATGAGCAGATGGGTCACACACTGTGGGTGGTCTGGGCTTCAACTTTACAGTCTTTTGTTATGTATGTTAGTGTGGTGATTGTTTGTGACTGTGCTCATGCATGTAGACAGCAGGGGACCACTTTGGGTGGCATTCCTCAGGAATCTACCTTTTCTTTGAGATAGGGCCTGTCACTGACCTGAAAGTTCACCAGTTGGCTGAACTATCTGGTCAGAGAGTTCCAAGGAACCTCCCTTGTCTCCCAGGTCACCATCACTGGGATCGTAAGCACGCACCTCTCTGTGCCTAGCTTATTACGTGGCTTCTGGGGATCCGTACTCAAGTCCTCACACTTGGACCTAGTCATCTTCCCAGCTCTTCCGTATTAGAATCTCATATTTTGAACTCTATTATCACTTAAGAGGAACGAGGAGGAAAATAAGAAACCTGTCCCTAAGTGTGTCTCCATTCCTGGGTCTGGCAACCCTCACTGCTCACAAGCAGAGTCCTGTGTGTTGAGTGGGGCCGAAATGCAGTCATAGAGGAATCTCAGCCAGGAGGAAATGAAGGTAGGGATCCCCCCCCCCCATCTCTGTTGGGTCCTGTCAGGGCACATGTCTGAATTAGTCTAAAGCCCTCCACATTTCCTAGTTGGGGGATCACTAAAAGTGGGTAAATACTTCCCTGGCTTTCCCCATGGTTAATCAGGGAAATCCTTTCTATTAAAAAATCAAATTGCCCCTGCTTTTGAATGGTGTGTGTGTGTGTGTGTGTGTGTGTGTGTGTGTGTGTGTGTGTGTGGTGGGGGGGAATGTCCTGTGTTTTCCACACTTGCTTTTTCGCTTCTGGGAAATCAGAGCACTTAGGACATGCAGTTATGGCTTTGGGAGAAGGCAACCATAACCTGTGGTCAGAGCCACCTGGCGAATGGATACCTGGAGGTCTGCAGAGTTCGGGTGGTTGCAGCTTGTCTCTCCAGCAAGCAAGGCATCTTAGTGTGTGCATTGGTGTGCTAGCCGGTCACGGAGTACATGCTGCTCTCGACTGATTCTGCGCTGCTTTTTTTTTTTTTTTTCAAAGTTCCCCCCTCCTTAAAATATTAAACGTGACCTCCATCAGGTTGTTTTATCTGCCAGCTGGAAGAAAGTGCTGGGTGGGAGAGGCTGTGAATAGCGGTTAATCCCTGCTTGCTGTCACCCACAGTAAACTGTGGCTGGGCAGATGAGCCGAACCGGCTTGAGGTGCCTTGGCTACAGAGTACTTAAGATGACTTCCATAGGATGGCTTCCCTTAAAAGCAAGGCCAGGGGGGAGCTGGGGAACCCACGTCCGAAATAAGCATGCAAGTATTAAGCATGTGGCACGCTGATAAGCCGCAAACCCGGCTAACCTGTTTTCCCCAA